AAAATTTGGCCATTGTTTCCTCATTTTTTTCTGTACCCACTACAAATAGATAGCATACATGGCCACTTGATATGATTCTACATGTCTCTGAAGCTCTGTTCTTTATTTTCTCCAGTCACATTCTTTCTGTGCTATATCTTGGATAAAGTTCATTGCTGTATCTTCAATTTCACTGATCTTTTCTACTGTAGAGTCTAATCTGTCATTTATCTGGTAAAATTTTCTTATCATACATTGCATTTTTCATCCTAGAAGTTTTGCTTGACTACTTGAAACACATTTTTATTCTTCTCATTGTTTTAAGTCCTTGTAAAAAATAGCTGTTTTGCCATCCTTGTCTGCCCGTGCTATTAGCCCTGTCATTTCTGTGTCTGTTCTCATGGACTTAGTCACTCACATTTTTCTGCTTCTTAGCACGTCCAGTCATTTTTTATTAGATGTAGGATATCATGACTGTTAAGTTATTGGGGATCTGGATTTACTTGTGTTGGACTTGTGTTGGACTTCATTTTGACAGCTATTTGTAGAAAAGTTTTCTCTCCCCTGAATCCTATTTTCAACATTGCTAGGGTGAGTTTTGATTAAAGTCGCCTTCACTCTGGGAATATTTTATGCCTACAACTAAGGTATCATCCCTCAGGGTCTCTATTTAATGTCTTGGGTAATTACTGAGAACTCTTCACTCTGGCTCCCCACCCTACATGAGCTTTGGGAATTGCTTTAACTCCCCATTTTGCCTGGTCTTGTAGAGATCATTCTGCTTATGTGTAGCCAAGTACTCAGTAAAGACACTAGAGGAACACTGTAGATTCTGGAAGATTTTTTTTCTTTCTCCACAGCACTCTTCTTTCTGGAAATCTGCTCTGGAATTTCCAACTGCCTCAGCTTCCCTAAACTCAGTGAGGCTGCTAGGCTCTGTTAGGGGTTCCTTTCCCTGCAGTTTGGATATTGCCTCCATGTTGAGCTAGGGTGATGATAGGGCTCTCCTGGCCTTCTCCTTTCCCAGGGATTACAGTCCTATGCTGGCTGTGGTCCCCAAACATTTGTTTCATATATTTAATTTATTTCCCAGTTGTTATTGGAAGGAAATTAAATCCCATCTTTCTTCCCTGGCATGACTAGATGTGGAAATCTGCAGAGTGTCTTCATACTGGGGTCGAGGCAAGGAGGAGAAACGTTTAGAGCACCTGTGTTCATCCTTTGACATGACCAAAGGATCAGTGCTGCCTGTGTCCCCAGAAGTAGAAAGGACACTTTCACATTTCTGTTCACTGGCAAAAGAACCAGTTTTTAAAGGCTTTTTTCCCTTGGAACAGAATTTTAGGAAGTTCACAGAATCAGAGAAGTGTTGGGACATTCAAGCGATACTATTGATCATTTTTCTACACAATGCTCTTTTGAGCTAATCCCATTAAATTAGTTGGCTGCATGTTCCCAAGTTCCTATACCCCTCTTGTAAGGTAAAATGCCTTGCCCTGAACTCCATGCAGAGTCTACCTATCTATATACTAGGAAAATGAGACTCTATTACTATGGGTGCATTTAAAAAAAAAAAAGGATGCGTTTTCACCAAATTAGAGGGCATTTTAGAACGGACTGACTAAACACAAGCTATAAATTCATTCTGGAGGCTCCTGGAAGACATCACAGAGGTGGCAAGTCATTGTTCAGAGCAGCTGAAACAGTTATGAGACTGCTATATAGGACTTACACGCCTTGGTATTAAGATAACATGGACAGAGAAAGCAAGCCCCAGATATAATATTTTAGGCTGAATGCTGCGCATTGCAGGCATTGACTTAAAAAAAAAATCTTTTAAGAAAAATATAAACATGTATTCAAATGATGAGATAGGAATACAATGAATCCCAGTTACCTATTACTGAACTTTAACAGCTATCAATGCATGGTCAGTTTTATTGATATCCACCTCCCTACCCCTAATTATTTTTGAAGTGCTAGACATTATGTCATTTCCTTTAAAAATGTTCATAATAATGGGAGGCTGAGGTGAGAGGACCGCTTGAGGCAAGGAGTTTGCAACCAGCCTGGGCAACATAGTGAGACCTCACCTCTACAAAAAATAAAATTAGGCAGGTGTGGCTGCATGAGGTATGGTCTCAGGTACTCAAGAGACTGAGGCAGATGGATTGTTTGAGCCCAGGAATTCAAGGTTTCAGTGGGCTATGATCATGCCACTGCACTCCAGCCCGGATGACAGAGTGAGACCCTGTCTCTTAAAAAGTTTTCTCTTTTGTAGTAAGCATTGATTTTGATACACTTGGTTCTCTTAGCTGCATATAGTGTGCTCCTGAGTGAGTAGTTGCAGGGAGATATTTAAAGATGCTTAAATAATTAACAACGCTTAAAGGACAGCTTATATTTCCATGTATTTTAGTTTTATAGCTTTTGAGGTTTTATACTCAGTTTTCTTCCTGATTGGATTTGTGGTCTTGGAAAGGTGAACTTCTGAGTCTTAATTTTCTTATGCTCTGAATGAGAAGGTTGAATTCATTGGATTATCTTTGAAGTTCCATTCAACTGAAAGTTTCTGACCTGTGAACCTCATGTGATGATGAGATAGCATTCTAGCCAGTAGGTCCTGACAAATGTTCATATGTATGTTAATCTGAACCGCAGGCACTAATGATTTTTCAGTGAAATTTCTCTCATCTGGGGACCTTCTCATTCTACAATTACTTCCCTAAGTCAGACTAATTTTGACTCCTGCCTGGATACTCTTTATCTTTCCTGCATATTTCAGCTTTGTTTCATGTGTCTCCCATCCTCAAAGACCATTAAAGTCCCCATGAAAATTTCCCTGCCCAGCTTTCAAGGCCTCCTATAATCTGCTCTCACTGTACAAAATCAACTATTTTCCATTTCAATCCAAATTTTATAACTATGCACAAATAACTGCCTCTCCAGTTGATTCATATATATATGAAACCACACTACATATATGTATATACAATTTCAAATATATGTACATATTTTAAAATTTCATAATTTTACCATTAGTAGCAACTTGTGATGGACAAAACCGAAGGCAACACAGCAACATGTTATAACACTGATTATCTGACAAGAAATAAAATATTTACTTTTTCCTCAATTGGCCAAAGGTAGGTAGATCACAATAAACAAGTCAACCACCAGACTGGCCTTAAACCCAAGGACTCTTTTTCTGCTGAGTATCAAAACAGGTGGCTGTATATCTAGAGGGGACTGACTCTATCCGCTTTTTCACTGAGTCCTGATAGTAGATGCATTAATGGATTTTTTCTTCAACAGCAACAGGTAACTCACTAGGATCACTGAGCCTGTGGCCAGCTGGGAGGGAAGTGATGGAAGTTCTTGCTGCGACCTGTTCCAGTAGCCTGAGTAACATCATGGTGAGATTAGAAGACACGCTGTGGTTCCTGTGTCGGTCATGTGACACTAACGCAAAGAATTAGGACAGGAGAAAGTGACACTTTGACTTCTGCAGCTCACCCCGTCCCCAGGCAGCGGCAGAAGTGTGTATGTATGGTGGCTAACACAAATGTAAAAACTGGTTTCCACGGATGAAATGTAGTAAAAGTCCTAGGTTTTCCACGCTAATTACCAGTATGGGACCCAGGATGCAGCTGTCAGGAAGCCTTTTTTTTTTTTAAGTTGGAGTCTGTCACCCAGACTGGAATGCAGCAGCACATGCAAGGCCACCCAGGGTCAACCTGCTGGGCTCTGGCGATCCTTCCACTTCAGTCTTCCAAGTAGCCAGAACTAAAGGCATGCGCTACCACACCCAGCTAATTTTTCTGGTTTATTGGAGAGCCGAGGTCTCACCAAGTTGCCTGGGCTGGTCTTGAACCCACCGGCTCAGGCAATCAATTCACCTCGGCTTCCCAACGTGCTGGGATACACAGGCTGAGTCACCGAGCCTGGCCAGGAAGCCTACTCTTACAAAATGATGTGGGCCATGTCTTTATTCAAAATAGTTGGTCTTGATTAATCTCTAGTCAGCTGCTAAATCCGTCATTCAGCTGCTTGGTGTCTGACATTCTGACAGCCTAGAAACACCATTCTTTTTTTTTTTTGTCAGTCTCACTTTGTCACCCAGGCTGGAGTGCACTGCCATGCTCACGGCCACTGCAACCTCGACCTTCTGGTCTCAGGCAATCCTGCCTCAGCCTTCCAAGTAGCTGGAACTACAGGTATGCGCCACCATGCCCAGCTGATTTATTATTTTATTTTACTGTAGAGATGAGGTCTCACCAAGTTACCCAGGCTGGTCTCAAACCCATGAGCTCAGGCAATCTTCTCACCTCGGCCTCCCAAACTGCTGGGATTATAGGCATAAGCCACCACACCCAGCCTAAACACCACATTCTTAATGATATAGTCCTGGATTGACAAACAAGGGGAACTTTTTTTTCCTTTAAGGACCCAACGATATGAATCAAATGTCAGATAGGATTTTTTATTGAAAGCCTAAGTAAACTAGTAAGATGTGGAAAACTGAAAAATGTATGAAACTTGGATCAGTATGGCTAACTCAAGACATAATTTATCTGTCATGCAGGAACAATTTTACGTTTAGATTTTTTAGTTTTGTTTTTGCTGATTGTATAACTTGTCCTAATCAAATTGCACTTGTGTTTTGCACACCAATGATTACCCTTGGTTTTGTACTTAAGTCATTTTCTTAGTAAAGTTCCACCCAGAATGTGCTTTTGCTCCTGTGGGTGTTTTCATTAGGTGAAGTTACAACTGACAAACTAACAGGACTTTAGGCTGTGATCCCAGCACTTTGGGAGGCTAAAGTGGGGGGAATGCTTGAGGACAGGAGTTTGAGACCAGCCTGGGCAACATAGTGAAACCCTGTCTCTAAAAAACTTTAGCATGATTTTATTGAAATTTTGAAAGAGCACCATGTTCCTTGCAAAGGCAATTAGAAAATGCATGTACTTAACCTCTTCATACTGCTGGCTTAATAGCTTCACCAGTCACTACTCACACCGAGTTTTAAAATGAGTTTATTAAAGAATGTTCTCAGGAAGGCAACAACTTTTGATCTGTCATTAAAAAAAGTTATGTTTTTTCATGCTGTATAATAAAGGTAATGCAAGAGGCTACAGAGTTATCAGCTTCTTTCTATGGGAACTGTCTGGTATAGCAGTATAGTCATTTCTGCAATGCTAGAATAAATTCAAAAAAGTCTCTTCTATGCTTCTCTTCAAAAAGTGATGAATAATAACAGAAGATGGCATACAAAAGCCACCATTTTCTATTCATTCTGTAGTATTGGAGCCAGTATCTAGGAAACAGAGGAGAGAAAGGGTAAATTCAAGGAGCAATTTAATTTTAAATTTAAGTATTTTAAGAATATGTTGAAAAAAATAAAACAGGGCTAATGGTAATGGTGAATTGAGGAGTGGGAAAGAACAGAAGGCAAAATTGAAGAGGGAAGCTGACTATGAAAATAAATTGAGGGCTTCAATAATTGTCCTTTTAAGGTAGATAAAAAGATGATGCTTAGTTCTCTGTATTTATGCTAGATTAAAGACCAATTTGAGCTATGTTTGGTTCACATGTTATATAACCACATTTTAACATTTTATTTTATTATAGAGATGTGGGTACAAGTAAGGGTTAACTACACAAGTAGGCTGCATGCAGGTCAAGTCTGGAGTCTTCACCTGCCCTTGCCCTCCCTGGTTTAGGGCTGTAACCATGTTTCTTTTCAAGTCTTCCACTGTCCCCATTTTAAATCACAAAGGGCCATAACATATAATCAGAGGGTAATTTGTCAAAATAGTTCCTGGTGAGAAACAGATCAGTTAAGCAGACACTTCTTTCACCATCACAGGTAGATCCTAGCTGTTACCACTTTTTCTATGTGCCTGTATTAGGAACTCAACTTTATTTCAGAATGCTTTTAGAATAAAATGGACTCCCGCATCTTTGAGAGGCTGAGGTGAGTGGATTGCCTGAGCCCGCGGGTTTGAGACCCGCCTGGGCAGGCGAGACCTCATCTCTACAATAAATCAAAAAATTAGCTGGGCGTGGTAGCGCACGCCTGTAATTCCGGCTACTCGGAAGGCTGAGGCAGAAGGATTGCCGGAGTCCAGCAGGTCGAGGCTGCGGTGGCAGGGAGCGGCCACTGCACTCCAGTCTGGGCGAAAGAGTGAGACTCCCACTCAAAAAAATAAAATAAAATAAAATAAAATGGACTTTACAGTGCACCTCACTTATCTGGCATCATCCAGGAGTTTAATTACTTAAACATACCTCTATCTGTAAGTGTCAAACCATTTATATTTTAATTTTGTAAAGAAAATGTTCTAAGATTGCATTCTTTTCAGCAGATATAGAGTCAGTGGAACACAATCTAAGTTTTTCTTAAGGCCTCAACAATATTTTTGTTGAAGATTAGTTATTACATTGTACTATTCAGTGGGGAAAGCTCCTCAGAAACTACTGCAATCAAGTTTGATTTGCTACTTCTTACCTGCTGAAGTTTGGAAAACAAATCATCTTGTTTCTTTAAGTATTAATAAAAGTAGCATCTCTATGGACTGCCAGACAGGAGCGTCTATAGGTAAAATGCATACCTTTACATGGACTTTCTGATGATAAGAAGTTTTTTCAGATGCTCTCTTTTCTTTTTTTTGTTCTTAGTTAAGGTTCAAATGAATGATTGGCAATTTACTAATCTACATCTCTGTTATCCAACATGGTAACCACTGGTTAGCCATATATAGCTGCCTAAATTTAAATTCATTCAAATTAACTAATAAAATGAAAATATTAAATCCTCAGCTGCCCCACCTCCATTTCAGGTACTCAATAGCCATGGATGGCTAATGGAAAATGCAAACATAGAACATTCTTCATTATAGAAAGCTCCATTAAACAGTACCGATGTATATCATTTACTCACTTAATTATAAATTAAGGCCCAAATTCTACAGTCTAATAAAAACCTAAGGGTTATGAAGACACTATTAACTTAAGTGACAAGAAAAAATATGAAAAAAATTATAAATGATCTCAAATACAGAAATTTTATTATCTTGTGTTCCAATAAATAGCATCACCTTCACAGGAATTAAAAGAATAAAAAATAAAACAGCATTGTTCCTTGCTGTAATGACAAAAAAGACGTATCAGTTGACTGTAAGTCAACTATGCCTCAGGTTCTTAGACTGGTTAGTGAACCCTCTAAATGGTACAAGTCATTATAACATTGCTAGGTTCAGAGTCTTTCTGACATCTGGAAGAAACTATTTCTTTTCTTTCTTTTTTTTTTTCCCTTGAGTTAGAGTCTCACTCTGTCACCCAGGCTTGAGTGCAGTGACATGTTCATGGCAACTGTAGCCTCACCCTCCTGGGCTCAGGTGATCCTTCTCCCTCAGCCTTCCAAGTAGCTGGAACTACAGGTGCGCGCTACCACACCCAGCTTATTTTTTGATTTATTGTAGAAATGAAGTCTCATCAAGTTGCCCAGGCTGGTCTCGAACCCCTAAGCTTAGGCAATCCTCTTGCCTCAGCCTCCCAAAGTGCTGGGATTACAGGTTTGTGCCACTGTGCCCGGCCCGAGCAAGACTACTTCTTAAAAAAAGGCTAAAGGTATAATTTTATGCAGCCATTAAAAATCAGACTTAAGAAAACAGTTAACACGTGAAAAATAACATATTTACAAATGTCTACATGCATACATACATTACTGTAAAAATATATACATAAGTAAAGACTAGGTTACATATAATAAAATATTAAGAGTGAAAAGTGATGATAATACCATCACCAGGTAGTGTTACAAATAATGTTTTTCTTCCATGTGCTTTTTTGCATTCTTGATATTTTTTCAGTGATTATATTATTTCTTTGGAAATCCAAAATATATAAAACAAAGAGACCCAACCTATAACCAGAGAAATGGAGGGTATTATTTTCTACATTTCTCTTTCTCTTGCTTTTCACAACTCCCATTCTTGGAGATGGCAGTGGTTATCTTTTCTATTTAATTTCAGGAACAGCTGCTCTAAACACAGTTCAGATTGTAAAGTAAAGGTGAGAATACACTTAAAATACAATTAGTAATGAGGAAATACCAATCATGAAACAGGACAGAGATGCAGAGGCAGAGATGTTGAAATATTTAAGGGCCTGAATGAATTCCTAGGTTTGGTGTGGAAAACTCACCTACACAGAAGTAACAGATTAGAGAAATGGATACTTACCATTATGACTGCAAGGGGGCTTACAGGGAATAAGAATCTTTTTAAAAGTAACTTTTAAAACAGAAAAGGTATAGGTATCCAGCAATATAGAACTCAAAGGATAAATTGTCAAAATCAAATAATACTTCTTTAAAGAAAAAGGTGTCTGAGAAAAGCCTGATAAACACTTAAAATTTGCAACTGAAACAGGGAAGAAAAGCTCATTAACTTCCATATTTTCTTCCTCACACAAATTCACTCTGAGTAGTCTATGTGTTAACAGAAATATATATACCTAAAGTCAGTAAGAGGACTGCTTGAGATCTATAATTCAGATCTAGCTAAGACAGGTGCCAGGTCTCTATCTGGGAGTATATCATTTGGCCATGTTCCCCTTAGGCTTTCCATACAGATGAAGATTTTCTAAAGGCTCATAAAAACAAGATTTCAAGTAGCTTTGCTTTCACAGTAATTAGGCAAACACTTACTTTTACCATCACAGGCTACAATTTTCACTTTATCCACTTTAATAAGTTCTGTCACCTCTCTGAATTCAACATCATTCAATACAAAAGTCCACACATTATCGCAGAATCTGTACGTATTTAGAGAGCCCTTTAAAACAAAACATTTAGACATACCATGAAAAGTCATTTTTCCCCCTCACATCTTTTTTCAAAGCAATTTAAGAGAAATTAGCTACCAAGTACATAATTGTTAAAATAGTACGTTTAATGCATAGCTTGCTTAAGATTTTCCTTAATTTTAATCCTATTTCCTTAAAAACAAAACTAGATAAAATTGCTACGGGAAGAGTTCAAAACTATTTTAGTGAGCAGACAATTTTCAGCCCTGTAAGTGTCTACAAATTACTTACCTGATACATGAAGAAACTCTGAATGAAAACCTGAACTTGCATTTCTACTGCCCTCCTGTGGCCACATTGTGAAAGTTCACTCAAATTTTTATGTAAATACCCTTCAATAGCTACATATTTTGTGTTCTCCAAACGTATCAAAGCAGAGATATTATAGAAACACTAAATTAATTTTAATACTGTGACTTAGTAATACTGTGATGTATTACTGTATTAACTACTAAGACTACACATTTACTGTCCTATGCAACTTATATTCTTCTAATTAATAATTTTTTTGGTTTGTTTGTTTTTAGAAGCAGGAATATACACTTGAGCATCAAAAGGAAATGTTTTAAAGGAGTGTGTTAAAAGTCAAGGATAGGCACCAAGAGGATACAATCAAAATCTGAGATATATACACAAGCACACATACAATCACATATGAAATTTACTATGCAACAGAACATCTGAATGACTAAATCCTCAATTCAGAAAAACAAAGCATCAAGCACAAAAATGCTCCCTGCAATATTTACTATAATAGCAAACACTGGATTCAGACTCAATGTTTTTATCTAATGAGAATGATTGAGGCTATGATGATGGCTACAAATAAATTAATGAATTTAATAAACACAAGTAATTACTGTGTTCTGGACTATGCTGGGCCCTGAGGATAAAACGATATGGGCTAGTCTTTGCCATCAAGGAACTGAGTGTAGCAGGGAGATCATCAGAGAAGTCAATACATACTATAACAGTGCTCTGAAAGGGTAAGAGTGGCTACTGGGTTCGATCGGAGTACAACAGGGGCACCCAGTGGTATGAAGGGCACAAGGCAGAGGAAGCTTCTCTTACAAAGGAAGAGTCAGTCAAGGGAGAGCTGGGACAACGGAAAGGAAGACAAACATTTTGAAGGGATAGCAGATTCCAGAAAACAGAAAGTGTCAGGAAGTCCCAAGGGGAAGGAGAGCATGGAGACCTTGGAAAACCTGTGCCACATCCTAGCATACTGGGCGGCCATGGAAGGACCATAGGCAGAGGGGCTGTGTAGCCAGATGTGCAGTTTTGGTGATGACACGAAGAGTGCCTTAAAGAGGAGTAAGACTGAAGGAAAGGAGATCGGCTAAGAAGCTGATGAAGCTATGGTGAACCAGAGAGGTGAAAGTGGCTTCACTACAGCAGTAGCAAGGAGATCAAGAGAAATGAAGAGACTTAGCTGGGCTGGGTGGCTTAGCCTGTAATCCCACGCCTTTGGGAGGCTGAGGTGAGTGGATTACCTGAGCCCGCGGGTTCGAGACCCGCCTGGGCAGCAAGACCTCATCTCTACAATAAATCAAAAAATTAGCCGGGTGTGGTAGTGCACGCCTGTAATTCCGGCTACCTGGAAGGCTGAGG